GCGTCCACACCTGCTCCAACGCCCTCAGGGTAAACTTCTCAAACCCGTCAGACTGGGTCACTTCCCTCCTTAAAACTCTCCAACGGACTTTCCTCTCACTCAGAATCAAAACCAACGTGCTCTTACCCTGGACCATGAGGCCAAGTAGGATCTGCCTCCCATCTCTCTGATCTCACTTCCTTCCCTCCTTTCTCTGACACCTCTCCATCCTCCGTGGTTTCTCCGCTGTTCTTCAGCACATTCAAGCACGCTGCCGCAGGGCCGGTGCATTCATGGTTCCCTCCTCCTGGGACAGCCAGTCCCCCAAATACGCACACGGATCTTCTCCCTTCTTTCAGGATTCTGTCCTGAAGTCAGCTCATCGGAGCAGCTGATCCCGATGTCAAATAGCACCTTATATAAAACAGGTCACCCTCCCTCATCCTGATGTCTTTTCTTTTTCTTTCTTTCTTTTAATCCTCATCCGGGGATATCTTTCCATTTATTTTTAGACAGAGTTGGAGGGAGAGATGGAGAGAGAGAAACATTGATGTGAGAGAGACACGTAGATCGGTTGCCTCTTGCACAACCCAGACCAGGGCTGGGGACCCAACCGCAACCGAGGTACATGCCCTTGACTGGAATTGAACCCATGACTCTGGTCTGAGGACCAATGCTCTGACTGCTAAGCCAAACCGGCCAGGGCCTGATGCCTTTTTCTTAATAGTATTTTCTGATATAACCTAAAACAATTTTTTTTTCTATTTCTCCCACCTCAGATGTAAACTCCATGGGAGAGAGGGAGGACCTTACCTGTTTTATAGCATCTTGTTTACCCAGCTCCGTGGTTCAGGGGAAGCTGCTGGAGCAAAGCAGCAGCCACACTGGAAAAGAATCATTAGCAGGGGTCTAGCAGGGGGAAAGGAGGAACATCTGAAACAAAAATAAATTAATAAAAATTGAAAAAAAAACCAAAACCAACAAAACAAAGAGACACAGGGAAACTCTGGGAAGTGTTGGATGTGTCTATTATCTTGATTGTAGTGATGGTATCCCAGGTGCTTGAATATATCCAGACTCATCAAATTGTGTACATTAAATATGTGCAGCACTTTATATATCAACTAAAACTTAATAAAGCTATTTTCTTTAAAAAAAAGAATCACAAAGCTGGAAACAGATTTATATCCCTTGCCCCCCAAAATGGTGTACTTTTGACTTTTTATTTTATCATGAATTGGATTTCAGCTTCTTTGAAATAGTTGCTGATAGGCACCAAAATCTTAGAGATTATCATTATTTTCTTCTGAACCACATAAGAGCAAGGTACAGACCCAATGCCTCATCACTACTGATACTCTGGGGTACATTCCTCCACACAAGGACATTCTTCTACACAGCGACAACATGAGCATCCAAATCAGGTGTTCAGCATCGATAAGGCACTATCATCCAGTTCACAGACCTCATTCCACTTTTACCAACTGTTTCTCTTTCCTGTCTGGCCCAACAGCCAATCCAGCATCATTTCGTCCATTCGGTTTGTCACATCTCTTAAGTCTCTTTCCATTTGGATCAGTTAGTTCTTCCATTTGTCTCTGTCTCTCACGAGCTTAAAAGTTTCAAAGAATACAGACCTTTCATTTTATGGGATGCCTCTCGTTCTGGGTCCGTGGAACGTTTTCCCACGTCCCAATTCAGGTCATGCATTGCAAGCAGGAATGCGCTCTTCTCCACACATCACAACGGGAGTACCTGGCGTGACCACTTTTACTACTCATCTTGATCACTTGGTCAATCTGGTGTCTTCCAGGGTTCTCTTCAATATATTAACCATCCCCCCACCCTTGTCATCAATAAGTACTTTTCAGAAGCTACTTTAAGACAAAGCTAACAGCCTGCTTTACATCAAGCACCCACCCACCCACCAGCCTGAGCACCCACTGAGGACTCCTGCCTGAATCAATTGACATTGCCAAATGGTGACTTTCTATTTCCATCCATCTTCCACAAAGGAGAACTATCCTTTCTTCCCCATGTATTAGTTTATTCATTTATATTAGCATGGATTCCTGTTTTATCCAATGGGTTTCAGTTACCATCATTATTATTATCATTTTTTTTTTATCCTCACCCGAGGACATTTTTCCATTTTTTGTTCAGGTAGAGTGGGAGGGAGAGAGAGAGGAACAGAGAGAGAGAGAGAGAGAAACATCGACGTGAAAGGGACACATTGAGTGGCTGCCACCCGCACAACCGACCAGGGCCGGGGACAAACTGCAACCGAGGTACGCGCCCTTAGCGGGAACCGAATCTGGGTCTCTCAGGACCGCAGGCCGACGCTCTAATCGCTGAGCCAAACCGGCCAGGGCACCATCATTATTTATTTTGGTGCTCAAATGTCCTAGATTTGGCCAGTGGGAGCCCCATCCAGCTGGCTCATGTGTCCTTTTAGCATGTTCTCATCATGCTTTGAGTGTTTCCCTACAAGAGGGTCTAGGCTTACTTTGCACTTTCCAGCCTAAGCCCTGGAATCAGCCCTGGTTCCTTTTAATAGAGGGTGGCACTTAGAAGCCAAGATCCTCTGAGCACTGGATGTGTCCATTGCTTCTAGCCTCCAAGTGGAGACAGTATGGTGCATGCATGTGTAGATGTGTGTATGGTGCATGCATGTGTAGATGTGTGTGTGCATATATTTCCATATATAATGATTTTTCACTCATTTTTAATCCAACCCAATACCTTGAGGTTCTTTATAGCTTTCCTTTCCATATTTGTAAACTTTCCTCAACACTAAGAAACCCAGCTCCCATTATAGTCAGTATTTCACTTATCTGTCCTATGTCCCGGCACTGAATCAATCTCCCAGCCAGGCTGCTGCCTCCTTGATCCTGCCACCTCTTCAGCCTCTGGCTTCCAAGGGAAAGAAAGGGTAGGGGGTAGTCATGCATTCTTAATGACACAGATTCCCCAAGTGTTGTGACTGGAGACGTGCTAAGCTCTAGAGAGGTTTTGGGAACCACCTTGATTTGCTAAGGTATCTGTACGGAACCTAGCTGGTGGGGTGAGAGCAGGGGTAGCCAATGGACACCTCCCTGGGATCTCCAGGGGTTCAGGAATCAGGCGGTCTCCACTTTTGCCATCAGAAATAGGCACTATAAAAAGCACTGTCCCAGTTGCCTAGAAGCCTGTTTTCTAAAATGAAAACACACAAATCCAGCACATCAAATACCATAGAGACAGATTCTTCTTAGCAGTTCTTCTAGTGCTTCTTTCTAATTTGGGTATAGCCATCAGCTGTTTGCATGGCTGCCAGAAAAAGAGAGGCCACTGCCGAACAGTCATTAACAGAAACCTGTAAACTACTAAGTCCTGGGGGAAAGGTGCACTTCTGTTTGCATCATGAATTGGGTCCTGGGTTGTCTGAAAAAGTGACAGGTGGGAAGTACAACTGAGCAATTGAGAATCATCATGCAAATTAGTTTAGAGAGACTTTATATGGCACACATCTCAAGCCAAGGAAAGTACTGGTGTGAAAGGATAATAACCAAACATTTAATCGGGAAGGAATTGCACTGTGTCACAGTTTTAAGAACATTACTCTAGAGGGGATGTACTCTCTGCTGACTGGTTGTGATCTCTCGACACAACTGGAGATCACACTATAAACAATAATAACCCAAATCAACCTCCCTTGCCGATTGACGCTGTGAGTCCTCTGTTACCAGTCCTGACAACCAGAATAAACACAGTGAAGAAACATCTCACCCAGTTTCTCTTCTTGTGGATTAGGAAACACTCATTCTACAAGTAAACAAATGTCCTCCAGGTGGGAGGAAAGGGGCCCATTCCTGTACTCACCTGAATAGCGTGGTCCCCAGAGAGCAGCACTCAGCGTTACCTGGGAGCTTGCTAGAGGCAGGCGCTATTGTGGAACCCTCCCCTAGATGCCCTAAATCAGGAACTCTGTGGCAGGACTCATCGATCTGAGTTTTAACAACCCCCGGGTGATGCTGATGTACACTTCAATTTAATGGTTACTGCCCTAGATATTCCTGGCGTGGCGTGGGAAGGACCTCTCTACCAGCTGGCCTAACCCTGTGGCCCTCCGATGGGTAACTAAGGAGCTCACTGCAGTTGCTCCTGCGAATGGGAAGGTTGTTTACAACAGGCGCGCGCACCCCCACACCCCCACACCGCTCTATTTAAGGTGCAGGAAGTTGTTCCTGTACTCGTAGGTCAAGGGGTCGCTTCCCCTTTGCCTCCACCTGATCCAAATCGCAGATTGGGTTGAACTTGAGACCCAGCAGGGGTCGCTGCTGCCCATAGAGAGAGACCGAGGGAGCGTGGCGAGCGAAGCCCCAATCTTTGACATCACACTAAGCTCCTCCTTGCACGCACACATTACACACACACACACACCCCATATACAGACACACAGGGACCGCGCACTCCTCTGGCCGCCCGCACCCACGACCCCGGAGCCGGCCTCTCCCTCGGCAAGTGTGTCCGGCGTGACCAGCGGCGAAGCGAGAAGCCGGGAGCGAAGCGTCCGCGGCGCGAGGGACCCGGCGCGCAGCAGGAGCGGTGGCCGGGACACCCCGGGCAGCACCCCGTGCTTCCAGCAGCTGCGCCCGCCCGCGCCGGGGCTGAAGGGCGCAGAGCCGCCACCCCGCTCGCTCCCGGGCCCCCTGCCACCCTTATGAGAGAAGAAGCCGAGCGAAGGCGCAGGACGCTCGGCAGCTGGACTCCTCCGCAAGCCCCGAGCGCCCCCTCCTCCTGCGCCCCTCCGGCGCCCGGGAAGCGAAATGCAACCGCCGCGCTCCGGCTGAAAGGGGAAGGGGCCAGCGCCACCCGCCCGCTCGGAATCCGGTCCCCGCGGCGGCTGCGCGTCCCGGCCGCGGCCCCCAGGGCTTGGGAGTGAGCCGGCGGAGAGGCGGCCGGCCTGGGGTTGGCCGGGGCGGGGGAGGAGGCACGGGGCGGGCGGAGGGCGCGGGGGGTGGGGAGGGGGCCCCGGCGGATAAAGATGGCAATGTCTCTCATCCAAGCGTGCCGCAGTCTGGCTCTCTCAACATGGCTGCTTTCCTTTTGTTTCGTGCATCTGCTCTGCCTGGACTTCACCGTGGCCGAGAAGGAGGAATGGTACACCGCCTTCGTGAACATCACCTACGCCGAGCCCGCGCCGGACCCCGGGGCGGCGGGCGGCGGCACCGAGCTGCACACCGAGAAGACCGAGTGCGGGCGCTACGGGGAGCACTCGCCCAAGCAGGACGCCCGCGGCGAGGTGGTCATGGCCAGCTCGGCCCACGACCGCCTGGCCTGCGACCCCAACACCAAGTTCGCCGCCCCGGCCCACGGCAAGAACTGGATAGCCCTCATCCCCAAGGGCAACTGCACGTACAAGGATAAGATCCGGAACGCGTTCCTGCAGAACGCCTCCGCCGTGGTCATCTTCAACGTGGGCTCCAACACCAACGAGACCATCACCATGCCCCACGCAGGTGAGCGGCCCCAGCGGCGCGGGGGAGGGGAGCCCCCGGGGATGGAGGCGCCGGGGGTGCAGCGCCTGCCTCCTGGCTCCTTCCTGGGCCGTCTGTGCTTCGGGAAAGACGCGTCTCTGTTCCCTGGACCTCCTAAGTTTGGCTGTGAGTCACTTTGGGGGATTTACAAAGAAAAAAGGACGAACTGAACAGGGGAATGGCGAGGGTGTTCAGTTTAGGTCAGTGCGGCTCGACTTGGGTTCGCTGAGGCGGCCTGACTTCTCCAGGAAGGTGCGGTTTGGAGGCAGAAGTCAGATACTGTTCTCGGTGAGGGACTGGCCCCGCACCGGTTTGGAACAGGTAGATCTGATAACTGAGCTCCGCACTCGCTGTGTGCATCGGGAATACCTACTCCTGACGCGGGCGTGTGTGTGTCAGGAGGTGGGTAGGGTTACTGGTGCGGGCAGCTCACCTCCGCGAACTAGCTCAAGTCAGGTTTCAGTTCTGCGCGGGGGATGAGCACCCGCCCGCGCGGGGTTGACGCACATCATAAATAATGTTAAAAGCCCCGTGCTCTGCCAAGCTGTCATCCAGAGAAGCTGACAGGCGGGCATGGTGGTAAACAATAACAATCCTCGCCAAGCCAAGAAAGAGCATGGTGGCCATAAAGTTATGTCTGTTCTTCCAGGATTGCTTTGTCCTTTGCTTGAGTGGGAGGTTAAAGCGTTTGTGGGAATTGGAGGATTAGAGACTACCTTTTCTTAATGATCGAAGGGTGGCAGGACTAGAAATAGGTTATTGCCCTAAAACTGGCCATTTCCCTCTGACTGACATAGGGATGCTTCGGTGGTAGGGAGAACAGGAAGTCCTCTGCAGGCTTGTCGGCAGAAGCGGCTAGGTTTAGCAGACTCCTGGAGTCCACGGTTGCTACTTGTCTCTACGTGCCTAAGAAGTGTGTCCTTCCACAGAGAGGTTCCTGGGTTGAGGTTGTGACATCCAGAGGGAGGAAAGACAGATGTTTTCTCTGACTGGAGTCGCCTAAGATAAAACATTATTTTCCTTAAAAGCCAGGTTTTAGTAAACAGTTACACACTGAAACGGATCGCCAAGCTTTGGACGCATTGGGGGAGGGGGAGGTGCATTTTCTGGGGACAAGTTTTCATTCCAAGAGCTCATATCACCTGTTAGTGAAATACACAATTGGTTTGCCTCTGGTAATCATCACCAGCTGTTGTAGAACAGGAAATTGTCAACTTCAGCCACCAACAGGTGGGGTGTGGACAGCAATGCTCCTAACACCTAGGCCAGAAATATGCAGTGCCATAATTAACAGAGGCCGAGAGGCAGTAAACCTAGAAAAGTTACAATAGTGCGTTTAGAAACATATGATATACTTTCTTGAGCTTAACAGTTTTGTAGGGGGGAAAGGTGGTATACTGACCTGGAGTCATAGGAACATTACCTAAACTATGATATTCGAGGATTTGGAGGACTTTGGAAGGGCACTTGAAGTTATGTACAGTATCTGTAAATAAACATATTTAATATTTTAACTTCAACTGGCAGGGCGGTGTGAAGGAGATGTTTTTTGGTCTTTTAAATGCCAAGAAGATTGTTGGCTGACTTTGCAGGATTCTTTAAATGTTTCTTGGTACATATGCATGAAATCTTAAACTTGGCTTCTTTGAACACAAACTAATAGTCATCATTTGTTCCTGTCTAAAGAGGTTCTCCAGAACTGCCAACACATTGGATCAATTAATGGCTCGCCTGTTTTTTAAAGAAAGCAGTAAGCTGATTTTCTACGCAAATGATGCTTGATTAAGACCTGGTGGGAGTAAAGGACTTAGTAATAATTTAAAAGTTAAAAACTAAAGTATGTCAAGGAAATTCTCTACTCTCTAATTATTCTGGTTTGAAAAATGTGTGGATGCTGTATCTGCTACTGGCCATGAAATTTGCATTGTATCGTTTGACAGATTGCCACTTTAGGAGACTCTGTATTCACTTGACTCAGAGATTGCATTGATTTCTGCTGAAGTCTCATTATAAGTGGATACATGACTGGTAGCTTGGTAAACCCTTCACTTGTTAAACTCTTCTGCCTGCATCTCCCACAGTGCCAGCCCTGGTCTGCTGGCAGTGTCTGCCTCTTGGCTCCAGAGGCTTTGATTTTTCTAGTTAAATTTGAGTCAGATTTCTAAATTTATTTTAGGAAATACATTGTAGATGCTAATCAAATATTTTTATTTTGTGAACATGGGATGCAGTATACCAGAGAGTTTTTACATTTGTGAACTTTTTAATTCAGTCTCTAAATTGTCAACATCAGCCTTTGCATTAAAAAAAAAAAAAAATCTCACCTCTCCGCAAGATCCTTTTTTTTGAACTGACAGCTTTCAGGTGAGGAAAAAGTCTGAATTTAGAGTTAGACAACCCATCATGTTACACTCATGCATTTAGGGTGATACGATCCGCACGCACCCACTATTATGGAATTCCGTTACATGGAAATCATTTTCCCCTTTCCCTATAGCTTTACTTTCTGAATTGTTTCCCTTTCCTGCTTAAATCATTTGGGATTTCTGTCACTTCTGCAATTATGGTTTTTCATTCACAAAGACACAGATTCTCCTGGGATAGACTAGTAGTTTTACTTTGTAACCAGTTTTAAATCGTAAAATATGACAGCCTTATTGACACATAATTCGCATACCATATAATTCACCCACTTAATGTAACCAACTTAATGGTTTCTGTTATTCGGAGAGAGTTGTAATTCCTCACCACTGTGCCTATTAGCAGTTACCCATCATTACTCACCCATCTCCCAGCCCTAGTTAATTGATAATCCACTTTCTGTGTCTATATATAGTTTGCCAATTCTGGATATTTCATATAAATGGAGTCATGTAATATGTGGGGATTTTTTGTGACTGCCTTCTTTCACTTAGCATAATATTTTCAAGGTCTAGTAATACTGTAGAATGTATCAGTACTACATTCCTCTTAACCAAATGATATTCCTTTGTATGTACACACCACCTTTTGTTTATTCATCAATTAATGGACATTTTTCTCTTCACTTTTTGGTTATTAAGAATAATGCTTCTCAGCCCTGGCCGGTTTGGCTCAGCGGTTGGAGCGTCGGCCTGCGGTCTGGAGAGACCCGGGTTCGGTTCCCGCTAAGGGCACCTACGTACCATGGTTGCAGTTTGTCCCCGGCCCTGGTTGGGTCGTGCGTGTGGCAGCCATTCGATGTGTCCCTTTCACGTCAATGTTTCTCTCTCTCTCTTTCTCTTCCTCTGTCTCCCTCCCACTCTATCTGAACAAAAAAATGGGAAAATGTCCTCAGGTGAGGATAAAAAAAAAAGAATGGGTACATAGCTAGGAGTAAAATTCCTGGGCCACATGGCAACTGTATGGTTTAACCTTTGAGGGACAGCCAGATTGTTTTCCAAAGCAACAGCACCGGTTCACAGTGGGCAGTATATGAGGATTCCAGTCTCTCCGTGTCAACATCAACACTCGTCGTTGTCTTTTATTTTGACCACCCCTGTAGTTGTGAAGTGCTGTCTCCATTGTAGTTTTAATTTGTGGTTCCCTGGCTATCATTACTTTTTAACATAATCTTCTTTTTTTTCCTCTGATTTCTGTTTTGCTTCCCCCACTCCCTTTAGTCATTTATTTGTTCTTTCAGTTCATATACGTTTTGTCCTAGGGAAGAAAGAGAGAAAGAGATTGATAGAAAAAAGATCCATCTCTTTCAATGAAAAAAAAAAGAAACAAAAACTCACGGACCAGAGATTTTCTATGTGCCCTAGAAAAGGATGTGAGGGACTGTGTCTTCATTGCTTTAGGGATCTTCACAGTTTGCCTGGGAAAGGACTCGGGCGGGCAGAGTAAAAAGCCATACACACAGGAATAGGCTCCACCTAGTGAGGGCCCCAGAAGTGAACTTGCAGGTGCAGGTAGAGGCCGTGAGACCCAAGTTAAGGAGTGTGGCCTCTGGAGCCAAGCCCTTGGGTGTGTGCCCTGGCTCTGCTACTTTCTCCCACTGGGGATCTTTAAGCAAGTTACTCAGCCTCTCGGGACTTGGTTTCCTCATCTGTGAAATGGGACATCGGAGTATCTACCTCAGTTGATTGTTTTGTGAGTTGAATGAGTTAGTACAATGCTTACTTCTGTAGCTGGGACATAGCCGGCAATAAATATTAACCCTTACAAGCATTGTACCCAGTGACACCGGGAGCCCTAAAGTGGATCATCCAACCCCAGGGCTCCCCGGGGGGTCCTGGCAGTCTCGGGAATGAGCTCTTGATGTCCCCTTTCATGCATTAGTCTCTGTGGTTTCTGTGATTAGAGACACATGTTCCAGCTCCTTCAGGTGGCTGGTGATTTGAGGATTTGAGGATTCTCCTGTTGCATGTGTGCTTTCTCTTGGCTTAAACTGAAGTCGCATCATGGCAAGGACCTATGTGATAAACGTGATCAATCTGTAAGTGTATGGATGTGGTTTCTGACTGAGTGCAAGGTTGAAGAAATGATATGTTTTCTTTTTTCCCCTCTTTTAGAGTGTGTTTGCCACCTTTTTGTCTATTGCTTGTACACAGTTAAAGGGGAAGGAGGAAACTAAATACCCAGCCTTCTAGGAAGACCTGTTGAAAGTCTGGGTCCTTCGTAGTAATTTAGAGAGGGAGGGAGGAGGCGGCTGCAGCAACTGTCTAGAGAAGAAGCTCAGCCCTGGGCGAGGGAGCACCCAGGATGGAGTATATTCCATATATTCCAGAACTTTCTCTGAGGCCCCAGGAGAAAACGTAGGGTATTTCCTGCGGGTCTTTCCTGCATAGGTGGGTGCTAAGAGTTTAATTCCTGGGTTCATGCTACGTTTATGGCCATTACTTTAATTGCTAAAGTCTGCCTTTGCCTTAACTTCTACAAAGGAACCAGCTGCTATAATTTATAATTAGAAAAAAATATATGTATATTTGGCAGGACTTATTTTTTAGAATATTTGTGGG